GTTTGTGGTGGAGAAGGTGAAGGAGAAAGGATCTTCCAAGGGATATGCGGCGACCAACTTCAATGCTCAGCATGCAATGACTACTTTTTTTTATTACTTTAAACTTTTCCTCTCCCATTATCCTTTTTTCTTTCCCTTTTCTGCATCACTTGTCAATAGCTCTCTGTTTCTACAAACACACAAGATAATACATAGTGCTAAAAATATTTTTACTCTAATGGATCGCATAACTTTGACACTTAATTGTTAGTACTGGCTGTTAGGTAAACATGCCTCATGTTCTCATTTTATATAGTTTAAGACAAAAAAAATAACCGTATGAAAAGTCCATTGCTACATAATAAGATTAGAGTTGGATTGCAAGTTTGCCCCACCGTGGCCACATGGGCTTACATACTGCCGCTCATTTCGTTTATAATGAAGTTCTATAGTTTATAAACTTAGAGTGAATGTGGTACATGACAATATTTCAAAGTATCATGAAGAAAATCACCATGTTGTGTGACTTATTGTCTTCAAACAGTGTAATTTTATTCTTTTGGTTTTCCTAATGCATACTTGGCTCATGTCCTATCCCTATTACATACAGATTCTTCCTCTCTTTTTTTTTGCAAAGAATTACCGGCTGACTTATCTTTTTTGTAATCACTTACAAACAATCTCATTTTATATGAAATTCACATACTTATAAATCATGTTACAGAAAAGAGAAAAAATCATGATTCTCGTAACACCTAAACATATCAAATTGCATATATAGAAAAATAAAACATACAAGTTCGACCTTTCTTAATGTTGTTGGTTTTTTTTTCTTCTTATTTTGTTCAGCCTTTGTTTCTTCTGGCTATCTTTCTGTCCTTTACACATTTTGGGAAAGGAATAAAGGCTTCCGACAAAGCAAAGCAAAGCAAATGGGGCATAATAAACACAACGATGTTAACTAAAGTAAGTTTAAGTTTATTATCCCTCTTCAAGAAAGCAATTTGTCTACGTATGTTGTTGGATAAAGTAGTACTAAATCTATACTGATGAGTGATTACTAAAAATCTCAAATCATATTTTTCTGATAATGAAACAGTAATATTTACACAAAATGTTGATATATGTTATTAATTAAACTGAAACCAAGTACACTGATTAACTTCTTCATTTAGATTAATGAAATTGTTATCGGATTATAGACGACCAAGTTTACAGGTAATGAACGAAAGAAAAAAATGTAGGTTGATAGTTACAGCTTACAACGTTACAACAAGAAGCAAAGAATTAAACCAAAGAAAATAAAAACAAAGAAGCAAAAAGTACGAATCTTCCAGCTTCCAAGATTTCTTGATTTATTCACAAGCAAAAGAATTAAGAGTTTTAAATTAAATTGGGACTAATCCTTACACAAAGGCAAAGAATCTATCTAGCCCCTTTATATATAATGTATCAAACCATAGCAAAGCAATCAAATTAATCTTTGCTCTTTATCATTTCCCAACAATTAACTAAAACTTCAAAAAAACTAAAACTGAGTTAGAAACCTCTCCATCAAAGTCATCTCTAACAATGGTTCCTACAAGTACAAACCAACCGCCTCGGCGAACGCAACCGCAACCACTGCCAGGAAGGGGTTTGAACCCGGTCCTATGCTGCATCATCGCCCTTGTCCTCTTAGGACTCCTTGTGGGCCTCGCCGTATTGATCACATACCTCACCCTCAGGCCAAAGCGACTGGTCTATACGGTAGAAGCCGCGTCGGTCCAAGATTTCGCCATAGCCAACGACGATCACATTAGCGCCAAATTCAACTATGTGATCAAATCATACAACCCGGAGAAACATGTCACCGTGAGATACCATTCCATGCATATCTCCACGGCTCACCATAACCAGTCCGTGGCTCATAAGGTGATCTCTCCCTTTAAGCAACGTCCAAAGAACGAGACGAGGATTGAGACGCAGCTTGTGTCGCACAATGTTGCACTGTCTAAGTTCAATGCGAAGGACTTGAGAGCTGAAAAGTCGAAAGGAACAATCGAAATGGAAGTGTTTGTAACGGCTAGAGTGAGCTACAAGACGTGGATTTTCCGGTCGAGGAGACGAACGTTGAAGGCTGCGTGTAGACCGATAATGATCAACGTTACGTCGAGCTCGTTGGATGGATTCCAGAGAGTGTTATGCCAAACTCGTCTTTAGTTTGGATTATTATAAACCATTGGTTCCATTTGTGTGCATCATACGTATATCAAATTTGCTATGTGCCCTTGATTGATTGATTGTGTGTGTGTGTTTCCTTTTAAATTTGTATTCTTTGGTTTTGTTCTTGTATGCATTCATTTCATCTGTCTTTTTCTTTCCATTATTACTTTTTTCTTTTTTATTTGTTAAAATGATTTACACTTTTATTGCTGCGTAAATGTATTAAATTTGTTGAAATATATATATATTTTTTTTAAATCTTTTAAAATAGAATTGATAATGCTCAATGCCAATCAATTAATTATTTGAGAACAGATAAAGTAGGGTTATATAAGTGTGTATCTCTTCCTTCCTTCTCAAGAAACCGATTCAGGTAGACTTATCCAGTACTCTTCCATGAAAAAAATGTAACTAATATAATTTCTGAATCATTCATTAATTATTATCACATAGTTTACAAATATGGAGTATATACAGTGAGCTAGTTTCTTCAATTCAACAACTGATCTAGCTAATTGTACTGTTTTTTTTTTTCTCTAGATGTCAAAGCTAAATTGTACAACATTTTATAGCAAGTTAGAATAGTTTGTCTCTTCTCATATAAAAACCTGAGATTGCATGCTAAACTAGTATGTTTCCCCAAGATGTCAGGAGAGGTCTAACTAAACTTACTATAACCCTAGAGACATAATTCGATGGAGGTTCTTAAATAAGCAAATAGGTAAAACAAACATAAATTAACCGCCAGATATACAGAGCAACACAGATTATCGACTATTTTTAGCAGGGTATCTACTTGAACGTCTTTCTTCTAAAACGACAATGTAACAACAAATTTTCTTTAACAAAAAAAAAAAAACTACAACAAATTTTCTGTTTATTTTGTATTTTTCTTGAAACTGTAAATCCCTTCTATCTTGATTTCTTCTTCCCACAAGAAGAGACTGAATCAAGCAGTCCGAGTAAAAGACATGGATAATTTAAACGCTACCTTGTTGACTGAGTTCACATGGCGTGGATATGGGATTCGTAAAAACGGGACCATGTACTGCGAAAAACAACCCGTTCTTGTAAACTCTTTTGGCGTGTGGGAGAAGCTATCACTTGATCATACAGGGATGCGTATATGGGAATACGATCTTCCTCATCTCGAGACCGTAATCGTCCTAGTACTCTGTTTATGGCAGTTTTTCTATTTCTTGCTAAAGAAGATACGTCTTCCGGTTCCAAAGATCACCTCCATGATGCTTGTAAGAGTCTTCTCTTTTGTATCAAAGTTGTTTGTTTTTGATTTGTCGCATGGTTAAATAAATTGTTATTGTTTGTTAAAGGCCGGTGCAGCCTTGAGCCAGACGAGTCTTTTGCCGAATGACTGGTTGGTCCACTACATTTTTTTCCCGGATGATTATAGGCCAAAACTCCCCGAGACGCTTGGTGGTTTTGCCTTTGTGTTTTATTGGTTCCTTGAAGGTGTTAAAATGGATGTTGGGATGATTAAGAGGACAGGTTTAATAGCTGTTTTTACAGGAATTGTCACCGTTCTTTTCCCTATTTTCACGGCTAACATCGTGTTTGGGTCGCTAAGAGAAACCGGGGGTAAAAACTTGACAGGAGTTGAGTACAGAACAATGATTTTCATGCAGAGTATTTCGGCGTTCACTGGTATCTCAAGGCTTATTGGAGATCTCGAGATCAACCACTCCGAGTTCGGTAGGATCGTGCTTTCCACGGCTATGGTGGCGGATGCAACGGGTTTTGGTGTTAACCTAGTTGCCTTAGTAGCGTGGTCGGAGTGGAGGGTTTCCGTGTTGCACTACTTAGGGCTTGCGGGATATGTCGTAGTTGTGATTTGGGTAGTGAGACCGTTGATGCTTTGGGTGATCAAACGGACACCGGAAGATAGACCGGTGAAGGAATGCTACATCTACATCATTATCATTTTTGCTTTCTTTTCTTACGATTATTTGAAGATGATTCATATTTTTCCGGCGGTTGGACCGTTCCTTTTGGGTTTGTGTGTGCCTCACGGTCCTCCTTTAGGGTCTATGTTGATACAAAAGTTTGAAAGCTTTAACACTGGAATCCTTTACCACTTTTCTTGTTCTTCCAAATGATGCAAATCGATGGACCTTGGCTAGTTCACGAGATCCGTAAACTAGGGGATTTTGATGGTCAGTTGTATGAAGCCTTGTCCATCATCATCGTCGTCTCCGCCGCCAAGATTTTCTTCTCAACTATTCCTCCACTGCTAGCTAAAATGCCTCTAACAGACTCTTTCGTTATGGCACTTATTCTCAGCAATAAAGGAATTGTTGAGTTGTGTTATTTCATGTATGCAGTTGAAAGAAAAGTGAGTACAATTCTTTTCCTTTATATTCAAGAAAAATTCCAACTCTTATTTTTTCTTATGAGCGGAATTGTGTTTAATTTATAGGCTCTTCATGTGAAGTCTTTCACAACAATGGCTATGCTGATTCTTATAAGCTCTACGATATTACCGGTGGCTATACATTACCTATACGATGCGTCAAAACGATTCATTTGTTTTCAGAAGAGAAATCTAACGAGCTTGAAGCTTGGATCAGAGCTGAGGTTTCTAGTGTGCATTCACAAAGCAGACCACATCTCAGGGATGATCAACCTTCTAGGAAATTATTTCCCTCTAGAAGATCCCTTGCTCACTTGCTACGTGCTTCACCTCGTCGAGCTTGTGGGTTTGGACAATCCACTCTTTATCTCCCACAAAATGCAAAAGGCTGAACCAGGAAGCCGGTCTTATTCAACCAACGTTCTCATTGATTTTGATACCTTCAAACATTACTGGAAATCCATGTCGCTAGAATTGTTCACATCCATCTCTAATCCAAAGTACATGCATCAAGAGATTTACTTGCTCGCTCTCGACAAGCAAGCATCTTTTATCATGCATCCTTTCCACAGAATATGGTCACTCGACCAGACAACGGTGGTCTCAGACGATATAACACGTAGGAATGTTAACATCAATGTTTTGAGACAAGCACCTTGCTCCGTAGGGATCTTTGTCCATCGCCAAAACCTGTTATCTACACAAAAGAGCAATACCGTTTTTAAGGTACGCATATTGAAGTTTTGGTTGTTTCAAACATATGTGAACACTTTGTTTGTGTAAACACTAGACATTTACTCAATATAATTCTTGAATTTGTCTAAAACTAGGTCTGCTCAGTTTTTGTGGGCGGGAAAGACGACAGAGAAGCTTTAGCATTGGCGAAGCAAATGATGAGGAACCAAAATGTGAGCCTATCGGTGTTGAAGCTAGTCTCAGGGACGATGGTCGGCATGACCACAGGGTGGGATAAGATGCTTGACACGGCAGAGCTTAAGGAGACACTAAGGAACAATCACACAGATTTGGTAGAAGAACATAATTTTGTGGAATACGTAGAGGAGGAAGTAAACGATGGTTCAGACACATCAAGAATCCTTCTCTCGATAGCTAATTCTTTTGATTTATTTGTGGTGGGGAGGAGCACCGGGATGGGTACCGATGTAACGAGGGCACTAAGTGATTGGACAGAGTTTGATGAGTTAGGTGTGATCGGAGATTTGTTGGTCTCATCGGATTTTCCACATAGAGGATCAGTGTTAGTGGTGCAACAACAACAGAATGCAGCTTGTAGATAAATACTATATTTACTTCCAATAATTTACTCATTTGTAAGATACAAAATAGAATATACATACACTTCTCACACATGACACATTTGTATCCCCAAAAATAAGCGACATCAGGATAAAAGTCCTATTCGAGTGGGCAGAGGAATATGCAACAGGTCTACATACTAACATTTTTTCCGAATTTGTTAGTGATTATACAATTTTTTTTTTGCTTCTTTGTCCAGATGGCGCTTTTTATATTATTTACAAAAAATTCCTTTAGAAAAACTGAAATTTTACCCCTTTATAGTAAATTTCATAACGAATGTACAAACCCACATATCATGATCCAATTTTTATAATATAGGTAAACAATCACATATTTCTCAGCCATATTGTTCGTACACATCCCAAATGTTATCAATTTTCACAATGTACTTATACAACCATATAATGATTAGAACGGTAACTTTATCTTTAAAAGTGCTAGCTATCTGCACTCTTAAAAATGTCAAAATGCATATAGAAACCTAGAAAATGCTATATACTCAAATTGGTCTTTCATTTTTGACTTCCCCCCACAGAGAGTCACACTGTCATGAAGGGTATCAAAATTAAGTAAAAAGTGCCTATTTCACCAAAACTTGAAGACCGTTTAAAAGCACAAATATTATCTGAGAAAAGTGGGTGCAAAGTTCTCTAAAAATATAGAGTCGTAGCTTTAACGTTGATTAGTTGTAATAAACGATGTAAAATCATACGTGTTAATCTTGACAAGGGATGGAGAGTAATAGTGCTATAAAAAGAAAACAAAAACGTGTACTTGAGATCAATGCATATCTTTTCTTTGCTGGTTATTGCAAGTTTAGTTATTATCCTAAGTCAAAATCTTTGTAACAAATTCCTTTCCAAGTCTTCTTCTTCCCGAAATGGAAGTACAAACCCTAACACATTCCATTATACCTTGATCCCATAGCTTCTCTTCGCTAATGCTTATTTCCCTAATTAAATGAATCAAAGTTTACACATGAATTATTTGGATGTGGCATGGCGAGGCTACATAGAAGACAAGAACGCCTCTCGCATATGCGAGGCACATCCTTACATGTTAAACTCGTATGGGATATGGGAGAGATTGACTTACAAGTCACGAGGTATGAGTTTCTGGAAATATCCGCTCCCGAATCTCGAGATCATAATGTTTTCTACTTATATTATATGGCGGTTCCTTGATTGGTCATGCAACAAAATCGGTCTTCGAGTACCTAGATTCACCTATATGATGATCGTGAGTTTCTTCTTAATCTCCCTCCCAATGCTTTTTCTATTTAAATGATTTACGATGCATGTCTAAATGTAATATATGTCTTGTTGTTGAAGGCAGGGGTAATCTTAGACCTAACTTGTCATTTAGGCAACAACTCTTGGCTCCGTGACATATTTTTCCCTTATGATAAGCGACCAAAGATCCCCGAGACTCTAGGCGCTTTCGGTTTCCTTTTTTATTGGTTCCTAAAAGGTGTGACCATGGATCCCGGAATGGGACTGAGGATGGAGAAAAAATCTAGTGTGATCGGGCTCACCACAATGGTTGTACCCTTGATTTGTGGCAACTTCTTGTTCAAATGGAGAATACAAAGAGGGAATATAAGCTTGTTACCAATGGAATACAGGTTGATCATATTCTTCCAAAGCATATCTGCGTTCACAAGCATCGACACACTCCTAAAAGACCTCAACATCAAACACTCTGAGTTTGGAAGGATAGCCCTTTCCGGGGCCATGGTGACTGACATGTTGGCCTTTGTGGTAACGTTTTTGAATGCCATTCGTTGGCAAGGATCTTACGGTGTTTTCCAAACCGTATGTTTCTGCTTCTTTTGTGCTTTTTTGGTCTACGCTGTGAGGCCGGCTGTGTATTGGGTGATCAAGCAAACTCCAGAAGGAAGGCCGGTCAAGAATGTTTACATCTACATTATTTTGGCGCTCGCTTTCTTGTCCTTCCAATTTTTCCACAAGATTCATTTGTTTGGACCCGCAGGATCGTTTGTTCTTGGCTTAACTATTCCGGACGGATATCCTTTAGGTGCTACTTTGGTTCAAAAATTTGAGAGTTTTAATCTTGGAGCTCTCGTGCCACTCTTTGGATCATTAAGCATGACGCAAGTAGATCTCTCATGGTTGCTCAAAGAGTGTGGAAATCTTATACGAATGGAGGGTCAACTTTATGAGGCTATTTCCTTTATTCTTTTTGTGAATGCCACAAAATTCATTGCTTCCACCATAGCCGCACGCTCTTTAAATATGCCCTTAAGAGACTCATTTGCTCTATCCCTTGTTCTTAGTAACAAGGGGATCTTCGAGCTCGCCTACTTCACGTTTGCGGTTGAAAAAAAGGTACAATCA